AAAGAAAAAGAAAAAGAGACAATAAAAGAGCAGCTGCAGCAGCTGCAGCAGCTGCAGCAGCTGCAGCAGCTGCAGCAGCAAGACAACATCCCACATACACTGAGGGGACTGGTGAGCCTCGAGGAAGAAGGGGTGATAGGGGCCTATCTCCTCCGCTGCTGGCAGAGCCACAAACGTCTTGGGGTGTCTCTTAAGGATGCAATTAGTAGTTTTATATTATCTATAGAAAAAGAAAAACAAAAAGCTGCTGCTGTTGCTGCTGTTGCTGCTGTTGGAGACACAAGAAAAAGCATAGAAGAAGTAAAGGGGACACCTGAGGAGACAGTTCAAGCAGCAACAGAACTACAGCTGCTGCAGCAGCAACACAAATATCTTAATAAACTACGTAAACGCATGCAGCTGCTGCTGCAGAAAGGAGACAGAAACCCCGAAGCACTTGTTGTCTATATAGAAGAACTATGGGGGCCTGTCGATGCTGCTGCTGCTCTCAGCCCCGCCAGCGGCAGCACCTTCTACAGCAGCATGAAGGCTGTGGGGACAGACGCGGAGACAGTCTCCAAGGAGTGTAAGAAACTATATACTGTTGTCTCTCGTGCTGTTGAGGAGATAAAGCAAGCGTCTCCTCAGCAGATAGAAAAGGAGACAGAAGAAGAAGAACANGCTTCTCTGTCTTTGTATAGTCCCCAAACCCTTGCTGCAGCAGACGAAGCATTCATGAGAGGTTCAGATAAAAAGGAGACAGAAGAAAATAAAAATAAAAATAAAAATAATTATATATTGAGAGAGACAGGTGTCTCCTTACCTAGACTAACTCTACCTAAACCACCCATAAACATAAGGAGACAAAGGCTTGTCTCTCCTCTGTCTCCTGCTGCTGCACTGTCTCCTCATCTAGCTGAGGAAGAGGAGACACCTGAAAACCCCACACCCTTTCTCCCTTTCTCTCTCAGCAGCCCCTCGCTGTCTCCTTCTCTCAGCACGAGGAGACAGCCGAATTTTTTAACTTTTTTAGATGAAGATGATTTGGAGACGGAGACAGATGTGGGGTCTTTTTTACAGCTGGAGACAAAGACAAAGACAGAGACAAAGACAGAGACAGAGACAGAGACAAAGACAGAGACAGAGACAGAGACAGGGACAGAGACAGAGATGAAAGAGGAGACAGAAAATAAAAAAATAATAAAAGATAAAGAACAAACAACAGAAACAATACAAGATGTAGAAGGGACTCGATTGCTACCTGTGAAACAACACTGGGGGCTGATGAGAGATGGAGACACTGTCTCCTTTTCTCCTTCTTTTGTGTCTCCTGATGAAGGAGACACTGTCTCCTTTTCTCCGTCTTTTGTATCTCTTAAGGATGCTGCTAGCGAGGGAGAAGAAGAGGGAGAAGAAGAAGAAGAAGGAGAAGGAGAAGGAGAAGAGACAGCAGAGACTACAAAAGGAGACACTGCAGCAGCAACTGCTGCTGAAAAAACAGAGACACCCAAAAAGGAGACACATCATGAAAAGGAGACACATCATGAAAAGGAG